ACACGGGGCGGCCAAGAGTGGCCAGTGTGGGCTGAGCCCCCTGGAGACCCCTGGCCCTGTCCCAGGGGCCTCAGACTGGCCTGAGGTGGGAGCTGGCGATGGGGACACCTCATTCCTGGTGTCTGGCCAAGTGCTGAGCTCGACTTGGCCGTCTGTCCTGCCAGGAGGGGCTGAGGGTGGATGTTGCCCCTGACTCCCTCTTCCCTGAGCAGACAAGGACCCGCTGGCTCACAAGAAAGTCTCCAGTCTGACCATCAACTTCGGGCCACAGCACCCGGCTGCCCACGGGGTCCTGCGGCTGGTGATGGAGCTGAGCGGGGAGACGGTGAAGAAATGTGACCCCCACGTCGGCCTCCTGCACCGCGGCACCGAGAAGCTCATCGAGTACAAGACGTACCTGCAGGTGGGGGGTGGGCTCCCAGGGGGGCGGGCTCCCAGCGCTCCCCAGTCCTGGGGGCTGGTGCTGGTGGTGGGAGAGCAAGGGGAGGCGCTTGAGGGTGAGAGGCCGGATCGGGTACATGAGCAGCCTCCTTGGATCTGTTCCCCTGTCAGGACGTGTAAACAGGCCCTGCAAGTTTATTATCCCAGTGGGATTTAACCTTTCCACTGGGAGCCTGAAATAGCCCAGGGACACGCACACCAGCGTGTCCAGCCAGCGTGGCTCAGGGCAGCCCCGAGGTGGCCGCTCTCAGCTGCACACCCAGTTCCATGTGTCCCTCCTTCCCACCTCATCCTGAGGCAGGGCTGGAGCTTTTGCTGTGCTGGAGGTGCCTGGAGCTGGGCTGGTGCTGGACCCCAGCCCCCTGCCCCCCTCAAGGCTGCTTCTCCCACAGGCTCTGCCCTACTTCGACCGCCTCGACTACGTCTCCATGATGTGCAACGAACAGGCCTATTCCCTGGCTGTGGAAAAGCTGCTCAACATCCGCCCTCCCCTGCGGGCACAGTGGATCCGAGGTGAGGGCGGCCCCGGGGGCTCCAGCTCCCAGCCCAGCACCCTGCCCCCCCATGTGTCCCCCCAGGCGCCTGGGGTGCTCACCCCCTGCCCCCCCCAGTCCTCTTTGCTGAGATAACCCGGCTGCTCAACCATATCATGGCCGTGACGACGCACGCACTGGACATTGGGGCCATGACCCCCTTCTTCTGGATGTTTGAGGAGAGAGAGAAGGTAACAGCCAGGGCAGGGGGGTCTGGGGGCTCAGCGCTGCCCCAGGCCATGCTGGGGTGCAACGGGGTCCCCTTTGTCCCCCCAGATGTTCGAGTTCTACGAGCGGGTCTCGGGGGCACGGATGCACGCTGCCTACATCCGCCCCGGCGGGGTGCACCAGGTGAGGTGTCCCTGGGGGTCCATGGCTTCCCTGCCCACCTTCCCAGTGCCACCACTGCTGGGGAGGAGCTGACCACCCTCTCCATCCACCAGGACCTGCCCCTGGGGCTGATGGATGACATCTACGAGTTTGCAAAGAATTTCTCCTTGCGGATAGACGAGGTGGAGGAGGTGAGGTGGGATGGGAGAGAGGCATGGCCTGTCCCTTGGGCATGGCCATCGTGGGGTTGTTCCTCCTGTGACAGTGGTGACAAGGTGACAGGGCAGGAAGGAGGCACCCAGGTGATTAACCCCCCCGCCCGCAGATGCTGACGAACAACCGCATCTGGAAGAACCGCACAGTCGACATCGGGGTGATCACAGCAGAGGAGGCCTTGAACTATGGGTTCAGGTGGGTCTGGTGGTACCCGGGGATGGTCGTGGGGGGACCTGAGCACCCTCAGACAAGCTGCTTACCCCTCCCTCCCTCTGCCCAGTGGGGTGATGCTCCGGGGCTCAGGGATCCACTGGGATCTGCGCAAGACCCAGCCCTACGATGTCTACGACCAAGTGGAGTTCGACGTCCCCATCGGCTCCCACGGCGACTGCTACGACAGGTGCATGTCCCCCGGTTCTGCCATGGGCTGGGGGCTGTAGGGGGGGACCCCCTACTCCCTGGGCTGCCCCACTGAGGGCATGGGGTCCTGCAGGTACCTGTGCCGCGTGGAGGAGATGCGACAGTCCCTGCGGATCATCCTCCAGTGCCTCAACAAGATGCCCGAGGGGGAGATCAAAGTAGATGATGCCAAAATCTCGCCCCCAAAGCGGGCGGAGATGAAGGTGAACATGTGTCCTTCCCCCCACCCCGAGGCTACGTGTCCTGCCTTTGTCCCTGTCACCACCACTGAGGAGTGGGCAGGGGACAGGCAGCGTCCTCTGCCTACCCCTGGTGACACTGCCCTCTGCTCTCCACAGACCTCCATGGAGTCCCTGATCCACCACTTCAAGCTCTACACTGAAGGCTACCAGGTGCCCCCCGGGGCCACCTACACGGCTATCGAGGCTCCTAAGGTGCCACTTCTCATGGTGTTGGGATGGTGAAGGATGTCCCGGCTGCCCTGTGCCCCTCCTGGGAACATCCTTGTCCTGCTGTCACCAGCTGGGCTGTCCTGTCCCCAGGGCTCTGCTCCTGTGCCAGGCTGGTGTTAGGGGGCCTGGCGCTGTGGTCAGAGCCTCAGCCTCCCCAGCAGTATCACCATGTCACCAGTCCTGTCCCCGTGTCCTTGCAGGGT